CAGGAATGCACCCTCGTCTGTTTCCAGGCAGAAGCTGTCAGACACAACCCCATAACTCCCCAACATGTTGACTTTTTCTGTTCCTATTATTTTATTGATCTGTTTTACAGGATGCAGGTAGTCTATCCCTTTCATTTTTCCTATTAAACTCAACTTGCTTTTCTAGAAATTGAATTTATAGACAATTTATTGAAATTTACAATGACACCCTTCACGCAATTGATTTCCCCTCTGTTTGCATGATCCTGCTAGTCCAATGCCAAAACACAGATTTCATAGAAAGCAAAAAATATTCTTCCTATTGTAAACATGTTCAGCAGTTTATTACTGACTACATCCTAGGTTAGCATAAAATCACTGTACATTTCTGCCTCGCATCAGATATTTAAAAAAAAAAAGGAAGGCTATTTCATATTTACACAAAAGTGTAGGGGTCTGGAATGATTCAGAATATTCCCTGCTATCTTGTTATCTGTTACACTCAGAGTTGGCCAGGACATGGCCCTTATTCTGACTTATTATGTGACTGCTCTGACATTCCTCTGGTCTCACATCAGTTTCCCAATCCCAGCCCTTTTCGGCTAATGCATGATCGCACCAGGCAGAACAGAGTACATGTCCCCTTAGCACTTGTGGAGGCAGCACTTCGGCTTTGAAAGGTGCAGCTTGTTACCCACTGGGACATTCAGCTCTTCTAGCTTGTATGTACCAAATACTCCTGGGTGCTTCCCCTTCAGGACGGTGCATGCTGCTGAGGAGCCAGGACAAGAACAGTCTCTGCCTCAGAGTCAACCCCAAGCACAAGCAAGCACTGAAGTGAGGGCTGCAGAGACACACTCGGCTTCCTCATCGCCTTGCCCTGCCTGCCCAACCGGGGCCTCTGCCCCCGCTTCTCCTCCCCAGCAGGCTCTGGCTGGAATATTTAACCGTGCTGTACTTATCAGGAGCAGGGAACAAAAAGCAGGACAGAAGAATAAGCAGTCCAAGAAAGGTTATTTTAAACCTGGCAGACAGGGCTTGTTGCAGACCAGAACATCAGCTGGATAGATCCTCCGCCTCCATATCAAAGTGAAATGAGTGTTCTCACAAAGTGGGTCTGTCTCATCTGACAGCACTGCTGTGCTGAGAGCTGTTTGATCAGCCCTGCCAGCCAGACCTTGGTGCCCTGAAGATGAAAGTCAAATTAGGAATCTGGCATCTTGGGGAAGGAAGGGGAGCAAGTTTGCAAACGAACAAAAAACAGAGGGGACTGAAGTATAGCTCTCAGCAGCCAAACAAAAGCTAAGCCACGTCTGCCTGGAGTCTGCAGCTGTGCTGGCAAAGGCAAGGGGGCCACGAGGCGTCATCTCTCAAACAGCTTCTGGGCTGCCTGCCTATGCTGCTTTGTGGCGGGACGAGATGGCAGGAGGCCTCTGCTGAAGCTTTGAATTTCTTTTATGTGCATTCAACAGGAAGCAGGCCAGGACTGGACCCTTGCTCAAACCCTATCAAGCATTGGCAGGAATTTGTGTCAAGGAGTGTCTCTGCATTCAGTCAAGTGGCACATAGTGATTGCTGAAGGGCACTGTCCCCGTCCTCACCCTGCATGAATACCAGTATGTCACCAGGCTTGATTTTCTATTGTTTAACACCTCTGCCTTAATTTATATTATTCCCTCATGGTACATTTTGCTTGGATGTAGGAGGCTTCTAAATCTACAGGGTAGAAAAGAAACTGATCCACAAAATAATTCAGTATTCAATTATAATATTTTGCAGTTCTCATAAGACTTAGCATCTCTGTCTCAGAGCACTACATTACCATTCTTGAATTGAGTTGGTTATATTTAAGTTTGATTTAAGTCTGGGCTTAATGACTTATCCAAATTCACCTAGGAAGCAGGTAGCAAAGTCAGGAAGACAAGCTAGCTCTTCTGATTCTACATCCTGTACTTTGGCCACGAGGCCTTGTATCCTCTCTGATTTTAATGAACCAATTAGAACAATGTTTTTAACCCTGGTTATAATGAGAGACTTGGTGTTTTGCACCATTGTAAATAATCAGATATAATTACAGAGCAGAGTGAGGGAATTGAAGCCAAAGGAATACAAAACAGCTCAGTAACATTTTTTACTGCACAATGGAAAAGAATGCCGTTTCAAATCACACAGAAACACTGCAGACTGAGTGCCTGCGCCTGCCGGGCATCATGGTCCTCCTGCAAGGAGCCTGAACGCCTTCAAAAAAATTGACGTTATTGGCAGCTGAGTTCAGAGAAAACACAGGCTGAAAAGGAACACATAAAACTAGTATGTTTTAGAAAGGATTTTTTAAAGAAGAAGTGAAATAGCTGTGTGGTAGAGGTCAGTGATATTTGAGATTATGCTGACATATATTAGGGTGTGGATACAGTGAACTCAAGCGAGGCTTACTTGCTTTCTCTATAATACAGGGACCCTTTTCTACTGTCCTTGTTTAGGACAGTTCAAGTTCAAAACTCTCAGCATGACTTTCAGCCATCTGAGATAACAGCTCTTGTAACTTCAGTGGGTAAATTTAGCACAGATGTTTCTGAAAGCAGCTCCCTTTCAAGGTACCCATGGCTAGCTTACAAAGGAAGGAATAGTTTTGAACCTAAAAGGAATAAACCTGAACGTGTCTCCCTTATTCCAGTGCAGCTACTCATCACGAAAGCGCTGAATTCACCACACACACTAAGTCATCTGCTCTATTTATTATACCCAAACATGCGGTCCAAAAATTATAAAATCCCAAAGAGACCAAAAGAATGCAGAGAAAAAATTACTGTAGTCTATCTCTGATATTCCATCTGTGCAACTTTTCCACAGCATACTCTTGTAGGAGACCTTTACAGATTAACCCCTTAGGTACCAGATATTTATGACCATCTATAGAAAACTAATTCTAATTTTCATGATAAGCAATGGTGAATAAGCTACAGAGCAATGGGCGAGAAGGGGACAGAGAAATGACAACCCAGAATTACAACAAGGGAGGCAGTCTTGTCTAGTGTGTGAGGCGCCTGTGGGAAAATCAGAAGATTATGCTCCCGGCTGTTCCATGATGACCCTGAGAAAGTGGCCTCATCTCCCTGCCTCCCCTCCCAACCATTGTTTGTCTTGTCTATTTAGACTGCAAACTCTTCAGGGCCGTAAGTCCCATACTAAGCAGCTGAACTGTGCCAGTATTACTTGTAGTCACCAGGCAAATAACAACATGTACATGAAATGAAGTAACAGCTGAAACTGTGCCAGTCACAGCAACATTTCACGGCAAGGAATACACTATAGCAAGGGTGGCAGGGAGAGATTGAGAGGAGCAAAGACTGCTTAGAGTTTTTAAAAAATATTTACAGTATATGAAATTGCAAAGCCTATATACACTCTTAACAGTTGCTTGCAGGGCTGGGGTGTTGCTTTATTTGTATGTCAAGTTTTTTTAACCCTTCAACTTGTGGGGCTGTCACTTGGACCACCTTCACCTTCTGCTGAACTTTAGTGCTATTTGATCACTGCTTGGAAAGCCCATTAACCTGCTATTTTGGCCTAAAGCTTTTCAAAGAGAAAAAGGAATTTTTTCACCCAATTTCCGTAGTAATTCAGTAAGCACTGAGCACACAACTCTCAGTGATTTTGAAAACATCTTTTTGTTTGAGTCAGACCTTCATTACATTCTCTCACAGGTCAATAATCCATCCTTCTTTACATTTTTTCCTCTTAAGGAAGATTACCACTAAGGCCTGCACATGCTGACCACAAGGCACCTTCCTCTCAGCCACAGAACAGCTCATTACAGTCCTAGCTCCTGTACTCTGCTGAGGGCAGAGATGGGACCTGGCGGTGACAATTGCCGCAAGAAAGGCCAAACAGAAAGTCATGTAGGATAGACTGCAATCCTCCCAGTGTAGGTCTGTACCTACAGGGTAGCCCTTCTGTCAAGACTGCAGTTGGCAGATGCAGTTCCCAGTGATATCTATAAGGGCTATACCTACTCAGCCTCTCAAGGGAGAGGTTCAAGCTTTTGCTGCTTCCCCAGGCCCCTGGAATCACTAGTCAGTTGGTGCCGAGTTTTTCAGTGTGCACTGTGGGAATAACAGCAGCTAATCTATTTTGGGACCCTGATGGCACTTTCTTCTCTCCGATCAACACAATTTCTCCGCTGCTCACTATTTTCTTCACTGCAATCCCTTTTTCTCTTCAACCTTCTTTGCCCTCTCTTTCTTTCTTCCATTCTGCTTTTTCCTTTCACCTTTTCTTTTACCTCCAGAGACTCATGCTGAACTTTCTCCGTCCCAAGGAGGCTACTCAAAACAAACAGGAGCTTGTGAATTATTAACAGTGTAGACTATAAATGGCGTAATTTTAATGACAGCCAGACCACCAAGATGCATGCACTATTGCACAGATCAGCTACCTTAGTCTTAGTGTGACTGGCCTTAACTGTTCTCTTACCTATCATTTGTCAGGAGTGCTTTATAGAATGACAGCTGTGAAGAGGAGGGACATAACTTGTGGGCCTGAAAAAGCACCATGGGCTTTTCTGTTACTTTGCTATGTATTTTACACTTGCTGTGCTGATCTAACTTCCAGAGGTCTGTCTGTACAATCCTAACAACCACAACTAACAGAAACCGATAGCCTCGGTGGTCCCTGAACAGAATAACCTTGTTGGGGTGTCTTGTGCAAGCTGAGTGGGGAACAGCACAATAAGCAGAACTTGGACAGAAACTGTGATCTAAAGTCACTGCTGATCTGCGCTGGGATTCATAAACCGGAACGAACAGCCTTTCAGTGGTGGAAGCCTTCCAGCAGGAAGCCATAGCAATGGAAATGAAGCACAGCAAGCACACTGCTGAGATTCTTGCAAGTAGCTAGAAGACAGGAAACGCATGAGGCAAACACCTAGGCTCATTTTACAAACCCCAGATAATGTTACAAAGGGATACAAAGAGAAAACAGCACCCAAACCAATTTCTATAAAAGCAGCACAGTCCCTTATTTGGGATGCACACTAATTTCAGATGGCTTTCCTAGTCCAGTCTAATGACTGAGTCAAAAAGACTACAGCAAAGCTAATTAAGAAACATACAATCACAAATCAGTTAAAAAAAATCAGAGAAGAAAAAACAAATGAAATGGGTATAACTAGATTCGTCATGTCAGAACACAAGAATGTTAAATAAGCAGATCCTGGTGCTTCAGCAGCCTGGGGAAAAGCTCTGTAACCTGGATCTTGGAAAGTATTTTCAAGACAGGCAGACAACAAAAGTCCTTTCATTTGTGAAGGCTTATTGCAGTGTGTAAAGTCTTGATGCAGAAAGATGGCACTGAGTTTATTAGCTTCCCAGCTGAACAGCAATGTGCAGACTTGGCAGCTGCATCCATAAAGGAAGATAATGGAAAACACATAAATCAGCCTTGAGTCATTCGTGCAGCCTTGCAGGCCCTTGCAGCATGTGACTGTGTGGGGTATGCAGCCTGGTGCCACCCTTGATTCCACAGCTATGCCTCACCAGTGAAGCACAGTAAAAATCATCCCAAAAATCATCCAGTGTGATTCACTTACAAGGAAAATAGACATGATAAGGGTGCCGAGAAAGGAAAGTGTGGATTCTTTACCTCCTCAAGTTTTGACTGAGTTTTAGAAAGATACATTTTACTGACCAGAATGGTTGAGTCGGTAGCTTGCAGACAGAACTCAGCTTTCCACCTCTCCTACTCTGGCTTCAGACACCAGACACCAGCCCTTCAAGCCAGGCATGAAAAGATAAGGTGCTACTAATGTCCCCAGGACAGCCTGTGACACCAAACAATTTCTAATAAGCTTGCAAAAACCTAAGAATTTACATATCACAATTTTGTGTCCATAACACACAAAACGTGGACTGCGAAGTTCAAAGATCAGCATTTGGACTCCCGTGCTGTAAAGGCTGAGCAACAGTGTAACTACTGGAAATCCTCACTATTTTAAGGTACGTTAGATTAGGTTAAATTATAGTCTTCTGTTATACAAAGACACTACTAAATGAGCTAATCATCTCTTCTGGCCCTCAAATCTATTACATTAATGAGCAGAAAGCACACTGAGGAAGAAACACCAACTATTGGAGCAGTACTTACAGAAATACAGAGACCTAAGGAAATAATAAATTGCCAAATACTTTGCTTCTTTAAAAAAAAAACTAGCAAGAAAGCCAGCAACGTGGTAACACTCCTACAAAGTGCATAACGCGACTGCTATCTTTCCCTGGCTATAACAGCCCCCAAAGGTAAGCCAACAGAACCCAACCTTATTCTGGCTGTATGTGAGGCTCAGACCCTCAGGAGAAATCTTACAAAGTGAGTCATCTCAGCTATGAGATGGCCTGGTTCAAACATTCACAATTTATGACTAACTCCAAAGCAGCATTTCACAATATTCACTGGCTACAAATCTGCCTGGTTATAAGAAGTTGTTGAGGGATTAAGTGAAGATAGCTGCTTAGGGCTTTTCCATCTGCAGACAGCAGAGGATTGATAGAGGAGGAACAGGATTATGCTGCTAAAAAGTACTGTGTCAAATTAGTGCTATGATGTGCTAAGAGAGTTTATACAAACCAACATTAATCCATGCTAGTGTTTGGATCACCAAACATATTCAAAACTTCTTCCTGCTCCTTTCTTTGACATTGTCTCAGTACGTGATTTAAAGAATGCTTCGCTGGCATTGCTTACGTAAGGGTAATTTCTGAATGCTGCTACAGCTGAATAGCTAATCCATACAGCTATTTCAGTGCGTCTACCAGCGAGGCCACTACTTCCGAATGAAATCATAGTTATTATCTACAGTTAATTATCCTGATATGTGATTTTCTTAAGTCCAAAGAGAGAGCAAGGGAAGAGTCACCTAGTCTTAGAAGAGGGGCAGAACTCAGATATGCAAAAGGAGAAAGAAAGATGAAAAGGAAGAGAAGGAGATAGGGGGATACACAGATGTTAATACAAAATCACGCAGAGAATGAGGTGGCCTCAGGGTCTCTTTCTCCAAATTGTTCATGGACAACTCCATTAACCTTAACAGTAAATCCAAAACTTTATCCTAAACCAGGTATTGCCAGATTTAGATGCTGAACTATACACGTTTAGAAAGAAACATCAAAGAGTAGGAAACTCCTGAGAGTTTTCCAGCCCCTGATTAGGGAAGATGAAATCAAGTGGACACGTCACTGTCCTACACACATTCCACAACACAGTCATATAAGCTTTCACATATTTTTTGGTTTACGTGTTGCATTGCACTCCCATGGTCAAACAGACATCAGGGATGTCACAACCTGGCTTAAAAGATAATGAAGACAATCTCTATCTAACTCACTGCGGCAGGAATGTTAACTGCTGCTGGTTGGGCATTTAAGCAACATAAGAACATTTCTTATCCCATTTGAGGACTCTGCAGTTTATCGACACAACCTCATCAGTACATCCCCGCAACAGCAGCTATAAAAAGTCTTTTGATTGCAATATTGGGGGACTCACTTCGGTTCTTCTCTGCACTGTGAACCGCCATGTTTTGAGGGACCCAGGTTATTACAGATTTAGTCCCTTAGTATAGTTACAATGTGACTCATCTTTTGGCATAGACGGGATTGAAAGATGTTGCTAAAACGAGCTGTAACTGCAGACTCTGCCAGGATGGCACCTCAGCCCAGTCTTGCTACCACAGTGCCATGTACCACTTTTTCCCCCAGACACAAGAGGAATAAGGTGTATTTTAAGCATGTCCTGGAGGGTATTTTAGAGCAAAGGCTGGGTTCTTATCAGACCGCGTGCTTTGACCATCTCTAGGAACATAATGCTGCATTTTGCAGGGTGGACGGGGCCAAGCTCCACAGGACAGGGAGAGCCAAAGCGATGTGGGAAGCCAGGAGGTGCCCAGCCAGCGCGGGCAGAAAGGAGGAGGCACGGGGGCCACGCTGTCAGGTGTCGAGAACCAGAGCGCTGTAGTGCAGTGAAGAGGCGTACGGCTGCAAAACGGGATGAGACCAACGGTACGGCCGAGGAACAGAAATCAAACTGACGGTGAAAGCGCGGAAGGGCAGGCTAGCAGGAAGGGCAGGGTGAGAAGACCGGCTCCCTGGGGACGCGCGGGCCAGAGCGGCTTTGCCAGCCGCCCCCCCTCGCC